TCCTTCTCTGTTACTTAAGGGTTTAGGTTTTTATTAGAGTTGGTAAGTAGGAATTCAGACAGCAGTGTAAACCTAGAGGCCCACAGAAACTGGGCCCACAATGTGAATGAGTAAAGCTGGCTGGGTGTAAGACAGTAGAAAGTGGAGAGAGCCGGAGAATACACAACTCATTTAAAGCATCCACATTAAGGAATTTTTTTAAATCCTTAATGTGCATTCAGAATAAAAACAGATCTGAGAGCTGGTAGTTTATCATCTCCTAAAAATGACAAAATTTACCATCTCTAAATTTATCTAACTTTCTGTCCTCCCTCCTCCTTTTATCAGAAAATATAGGGATGGTTCAGTCATCAAAATGAGGGAGATGGGTTCCTGACACTTCAGAATGATGGGAGTGCTTTGTATCTATTTCTTCTAGAATTTGCCTGGGTTGCCACAGTTTGTAACTTCAAGAATAGAAAAAGTGGCCCATCGTTTTTTTCTCTGTCTTGCTTCTGTTATCTGGAGGAGGGTTTGTGGCAGATTTTCAGAGATTCCTGTAAGTCAAAGAAACATATTCTGATAATAGACCCTTATACCTGAGCTTTATTTTTAGATGATTTCGATGTCTTCTGCTTTGGCCTTTCGGAAGCTTGAGCTGGACCTGTAGTTTTTCTCCTCCAGGTCTTTAGCACAGGTTCCCAGTAGTCATCTCAAGCACTGGAAATCTTTCTGTTCACTTTGGAAGAGCAGATTCAGACTGGAACCAGGCCTCACTCTTTAGTGTATGTGGAGAATACAGAGTAGGGACCCTGAAAAGCCTTTTTTCCTCCTAGAGTCTAACTCAGCTCACTCCTTCCTTGGAATTCCAGCAGAATTGCATCTTCTTAACCTAATTTGAGAACCTTGTATGTACCAGAGGTGCTATATGTTAGACACAAGGGATAAAAAGGTAAATAAAACATGGTCCCTGTTCTACCAGCTCACAGTTTGTAATGAGGCTTTTCATTGCCTAGGAGAAGATACTGTTTTAACGTGTATTCAGCCATATAAACCTTGGTGAGAATGAAAGATAGTAGTAACTGGTTTTGACTTATAGAGTTGGGGATATTTGGGGTAAAGGAAAAAAGGAAAACTGCCCAACAAAACATTACTATTAGGTGGGAAAGACCTTGGCCACTTTTTGTTAAAATGAGTTTATTTAAAAATGTTTGAAAGAGTCTAAGGCTGTGCTACCCTGAGCAAGCTCAATCCCGTCTGACCTCGGAAGCTAAGCAGGGCCAGGTGTGGTTACTACTTGGATGGGAGACCACCTAGGAAGACCAGGTGCTATAGGCGCAAAAAAAAAATAAAAAATAAGGGATTGTAAGCTGAGAAGGTTCTTGCAGTCTGTGAGGTCAACCAAGGGTTGCCTCGCCTAAAAAAATAAATAAATAAATAATAAAAAAATAAAAATGTTTGAAAGAGAAATACATTATATGGTTTAAAAAATGTTAAAAGTCTGTTATGAAAATCTCTCTCCATACCCTCTTTCTCCATCTAATTCTTATCATTTCAGAGTTTCTTTGTGCAAATATAAGTGAATATGAATATATGTTTTTATTTACTTGTCCCCCTTCTTACATAATGGTAGCATACTCTATACAGTATCCTATATATTTTTATTTTATATACTTAAATCTTATGGAGGTTTCTTAATGTGACTTCATACAGAGCTTACTCATTCTTTTCTATAGTCATATAATACTATTTATGGATGTACCGTGATTTAATCAACAAGCATCTTACTAATGGACAGTGAGATGTTTGCTCATATTTATTATTACAATCACTGCTGCAAAGAATCTTATATATACATTATACATCATTTAGCACGTGTGCTAACAATGTATGTGTAAATTCCTAGTAGTGAAATTTCTGCATCAAAGGCTTTATGCATTTGTAATTTTGATAGCCATGCCAAATTGCCCTCTGTGGAGATGTTAACAACTTATGCACTAGTCATCTATGTCTGTTTCCTCATAGTTCCAGCTATGGAGCTTTTATCATACTTTTGGATTTTTACCAATATGATCGGTGAAAACTGGGCTAGCAGTGAAGTTTTTCTTATGATGAGTGAAGTTGTACATCTTTTCTTAGAGTCAAAGCATTGGTATTTCCTTTTCTGTGAAACACCTTTCATATCCTCTATCTTTTGCTGATTTTTTGCTTGCCAGTTTCTAGGAGCTCTTTATGTAATAGGAAGTTTACCCTTTTTGGTATGAGTTGCAAATATTTTTCCTTGGTTTCTTTTTTTACTGTTGGTATTTTTTGCCCTGAGGGATCTTTTTATACTGTTGGATTTATCATAATTTTCTTTATGACCTTTACATTATCCTGGCCACTATCGATGGCACAAAATCATTCATTCCCCCTTGCATGTTGCATGCTCTCTCTTTTCCTACTTCAGTCTTGGATTGAGAGCAAAAAGCTTTTGGTACCTTCCTCCCCAAGTCTGTTCTGGGACTGTATTATTTCTCAGTGATAGGATAACCCTTGATAATTTTGTTAGATTTTAGTGGTCTGAAAATTCCCATTTCCTTGTTTGGAGACACTAGAATAAACTGGCAGTTTCTTATAAAATTACACATGCAGTTACCATACAACTCAGCAGTTGCTCTCTTGGGCATTTATCCCAGAGAAATGAAAACTTATGTTTACACAAAAACCTGTACACGACTGTTCGTAGCAGCATTGTCTGTAAGAGCCACAAACTGGAAACAGCTCAGATGTCCTTCAGGAGGTGAATGGTTAAATAAACACCAGTATGTGCATGCTGTGGATAGTACTCAAATAAAAAGGAACAAACTACTGATACGTGCAGCAACTTAGATGAATCTCTAATGTATGAGGCTGGGTGGAATAAGTCAGTCTGCAAAGGTTACATGTTGTATTTCATTTATAAAACGTTTTTGAAATGACAGTTTTAGAAATGGTGACCCAATTAGTGTTTGTCAGGGGTTAAGGATGAGGAAGGGGATGAGAGAGAGGTGGATGTGGTTATAAGAAGCAACACAAGAAATCCTCGTGTGATGGAATGGCTCAGTATCTGTGGTGGTGAATACATGAACTTACATATGTGGAAAAATTGTGTAGAACTAAATCAACACACGTGCAAATAAAATGGGGACATCTGAAAAAGATTAGTGGATTGTATCAATGGCAATATCCTGGTTGGGATATTGTATTGTAGTTTTGCAAGATGTTACCTTTGGGGGAAACTGGACAAAGGGATACACGAGATCCTGTACACCGGGTTTTGATAAAAATTTCAATTAAAAAATAAGTCCTCATTTCTGCAAATACCAGCTCCACCAAAAGCTGCTATATAGAGGTGGGTTTGCTGGAGTAACTGGTATCCTTTGTGTAAGGATCAGCAGTGGAACAGCTAAGGGACCTAGTGCTGGCAGTGGAATGCGGAGGAGCAGAGCAGTGCCTCGGGTTCAACCCTGCACTCTGCCGTAACAGGCCAGATTGAGATCTAAGAGCCCTGACTGGCCTTTCCAAGGATTTATGGGGCAGCCCAACTGGGTTGCCCATCGTACAGCCTGGTTGGGGGGTAAAGAGCACTGGCTTAGGCTCCAGTACCTGAGAACTAGTGAGAGTTTGACATTGGTGGTTGTGGGCAGGAATGAGGAAGGGTTCCCAGGATGAGCTTTGATGAGGGTGGGACCACTCTAATCATCCTGGGAACACCCCATTGGCGTGTTTATTTTGGTCTACCTTGCGCTATATCATCGGCTCTGGTATAGACGGAATGCGGCCTAGCATAGTGCTGCTCAGTGTGTGACAGGGGAATCCCCGAGATCCCCAGGACCCTGTTAGGGATTCTCTGAGGTCAAAACCATATTCACAATAATACTTAGACATTTGCTAATTACTCTCATTCTCTTACAAGTGTACAGTGGAGTTTTCCAGAGACTACATGGTATGAAATAGCAGCAGATTAAATGCAGAAGCAGCTATGTGACTCCAGCTGTTTTCTATTAAGCCAGACATTTAAAAGACTTACAAAAATGTAAACCAGTTGCCCTCTTTTCACGTCTTTGTTTTGGAAAATATAATTATTTTCCTTAAAATATGTTACTTATGCTAACATGTAATGGGATTATTGCTATTTTTAAATGATTTATTATTTCAGAATTTTCTCAGTTTAATTTTTAATAGGTGAATATTGATATAAACTACACAAACCAAAGCCCTTTGGAGTCCTCAGTTTTTGAGAGGGTAAAGTGGTCCTAACACCAAAAAGTGTGTGAACCTTTGGCTTGGTGGAAAGCCCTTGGCCAGAATTTGGTAGGCATGAGTTCTAGTGAGGACTTTGCTGTGTGACCATGGGCAAGCCATTTAAAGCCTCTTCAGTTGATTTCTTCTTCTGTAAATGTTAATAATTATTCTGTTCTATATACTTGAAAGAATAGTAAGAAAACTATATGAAAGGAAATATAATGCCCTATGCAAATGTAAGGGAATTTAATAGTTATACAATCAAAGTGATGCTGGAAGAAAATGTAAAGAATGAGATTTATAGTGCGTCAGCTGACATTCTGTTCACTTTTCAAATTTTTTCATTTTTGTATCTCTTTAATAGTTTCTTTATATTTTTTCTCAGTTTCACACCATTTTAATTATTAAAAGTAATTGAGTAAATACATCTTCCTAAGTTTTCAGTTAAAAAGGGATTTATATTCCTAATACCTTGGGCTCCTCATTTGTAAAATGGCTATAATGATACTTTACTTTCCAGGGTGATTAGGAGTATAAAAAATAACACAGAGGAAGCCCTTGGCCAAGTGCTTGGCACATAATAGATACCCCATAAATGATAGTTGCTATGCTTGTCTTTAGTGTATAACAGAAGATGCAGGATTAAATTTAGGTTCTTACTCAGTTTTCAGTACACATATTGAGCTACTTTATTTACAAGTTTATTAGCAGTAATTTCCATTTCATTTAATTTCATTCTTTTTTCTGCTTTGAAGGGCTACTGAGTGGCCAGACATCCCCAACAAATACCAAATTGGAGAAACTGGATTCTCAGCAGGTATTGCAGCTCTGCCTCCGATATCAGGATCACCTTCATCAGTGTGCAGAGGCTGTTGCTTTCGATCAGAATGCTTTGGTTAAACGAATCAAGGAGGTAAGTATTGTGACAAAGTAATATTGCTGCCTCATTATTGTGATTTCCTGTGACTCCTGATCACTTTTCTGCTGGGCGGTAAAGCCAGTGATCCCAGCTTTATGGGAAGTAGTAATTTTCTAATCTTGACATTTGTCCCATTGCTTTGGGGATTTTCTTTCCTCGCAGTAAAATGTGATGGCAAAAAAGAGTGGTCTGTGGAGCTAGACTAATCTGGAGTTTGAATTCTGGTTCACCACTTATTCTCTTGGGCAAGTTACTTAACTTCTCATGGTCTCAGTTTCCTCATCTGAAAAATGGGGCTAATAGTAGTTACCTACCTCAAGGGTTGAGTGAAGATTAAATTGCTCAGTGTTAGCTATTATTAGTATGTGTAAAGTCCTGATGTACTACTTTGCTCTAGCTGACATCATATCTTCAAATTGACTTTAGCTGTTTCCTGTATCTAATTTATATTTTATTTTCAGATAGTGTGTCAGTTCTTTGAGAGCAGGAGCCTTGACACCTCGCTAACAATTGTATTTTTCACTGTGTTAGCACATAAAAAGCTCAGAGATTCTTATCGGTTGGATGAAGCAATTATGCCTACTTAACCCACAAGGTTTTGTAAGGAAAGAAGCAAGATAATTCATGTGAAAGTACTTAGTAAACTAGAGAGCATGGTACAAATGTTGAGTAATTATTGATAACAGTAAGTAGCTACTTCTTTTAAGCACTTAAATATGTCATTGACTGGGCCGCTGCATGGCACACCTCTGGGAGCTCCAAGGTACGAGTAAATACATTTTCGTAAGTTTTCAATTAAGAAGGGATTTATATTCCTGGTACCTTAAAGTAGTGTCATATAGAGAAAGGGTCAGGAGCTCTATCTTGGAGAAACCACTTATGTGAATGGCATCCTGTGGAGTTGTTTAACAACTCAGGCCATCGAATCAGGCCAGAGAAGAAGGCGGACATGAGGAAACACATAATTAAAAGGTTGAGAATCACTGAAAATTAATTATCTATTAGTAAGGGATATAATAGTACATCCTTGAGATTACAAAGTAGTTGTTAGTTATATGGATAGATTTAAATTTGCCAACACTTCCAACATGCTAGTACTTATCTTTCATAAGATGTATGCATATACACTTCTCTCATGGAATTATTTTATCTGGAAGACTGTTAAATATGACATGACATTTCATATTGGTTGGCATTGGTGTGGCCTTTCATATAGTATAAACTATTTTACTACATTACGATCTACATATCGTTAAGTCCCAAACATGACTATACCTTAGAATTGCTTGGGTTTTTTAATACTGAGCTCTCCTGTCCCCCAGTAGTTTAGGATGTGGTCTGTGAATCGTTATTTTAATAAGCTTACCAAACGGTTCTGATGCCATTCTTCATTACCTGGGATTTGGGAACCTCTGGTCCAAAGCACTATTTTCCAAAATAAGTTCTATGAAACTAGTCCATGTAAAGAAGATAACACTTTTTGCATATTTCCTCACCACCTTAGAAAGTCACAATGCATATTGTCTTATTAAAAGTTTTTAGGAATCTCAATTACAATAAAGAACAACAGCACTTTTCAAACTTTTTGACTTAGAACCCTTATATTGGATAATATCTATTCACATCTTATAGAAGTAGCATTTTTTTTAGAACATTTTTTGGGAAATACTCTTGCAGGCATAAGAAAGACCTTATCATTTTTGACTATTGTGCTAGAAATAGACCATGACATGACTCTTGGAAGATTTTAAAATAAATCAACTTTTTAATGCTTGTCTTCTTTTTGAAAGGTCCTCTAAACCATATCTGTAGTTTTTTAGTTTAGGGAAGCATGGTACAGAAAGATCGGCTAGTTCATTTTTAATGATCTGGGTAAAGTATTTTGTAGCACCAAACAGAGCTCCTCATTATACCACATTTTTAAGAGTCCCAAGCAGTGTTTCTTGGCCCTGCATACATGTTAGAATCACCTGGGATTTTTTCTCTCCAATATATATGACGGAAAATTTTACACACACACACATTTGAGAAGACAAATACTGTGAACCTTCACATACCCAGTGGCCAGCTACCACAGGCTTATGAACACTCCTGCTTCATCTATACCCCCACTCACTCCCTGCCTCCTCCTCACCTGGTCTATTTTGCAGTAAATCTCAGGCATTTCATTTCATTCATAAATATTTAAGTATGTATCTTTAAAAGTAAAGGACTCTTTAAAAAAAAAAAAAAAAAACCTTTTAATCTGAATCAGTTTTAGACTTAGTCACAAAAGAGAGTTCTTGTATACCCCTCACACAGCTTCCTCTAAAGTGAGCATCTTACAGAACCTTAAGTGCAATGATCAAAACCAGAAAATTAATGTTGGTACAATACTATTAACTAAACAAAGACCTTATTTGAATTACACCAGTTTTTCCACTAATGAAGAACTTTTTTTCAAAAACAGCCACGTTGCTGTTATCATACCTAAAATACTTAACAGTAATATCTTGATTCGTTCAGTATAGCTGAGGTGCTTGTAAGAAAATACTGATATATAGGTCTCACTCTAAACCAGTTAGATCGAAATCTTTGAATGGCTATGGATGGGGAAAGGAGGAAGCTGAGCATTGTTATTTATGAAAGTGCTCTAGAATCTAACCAGCATTGAGAACCACTGTTCTGAAGCATTCATTTAAAATGATTAAGCTGAGTTTAAAAATCTCTTTGATGACCTTTGGGATTCACTTTTAGTAGTCACTAACCCAGGATTGTTGGAAAACCCAGAACAGCACTCAGAATACCAAGCAGGACCTCTGTAGTTCTCTCAGGGAGGAGGAGTTGAGCAGTGTTTTAGGGTTTTCATTGGTCATCTCTGTTGGAAAGTGCTAGCAAACTCCTGAAAATACACATCCATCTGTGTTCACTTCAGTCCTAAGAGTTAAAATTAGTCATTTCCAAATGAATAAAGCAGAGGATGTAGATTTACTCCGACACTAACTCTCTGATATTATTCCAGATGTTTCCTGGAAATTTGGTTGCAAGAGCGAGGAAGTAACATAATGCTATATGTGTTGAAAAGTAAGGGAACTTAATAACCATGGAGAATATGTATTCATGGAAGTGTAGAACCCAGATCAGCTGGAGGTTCGTAAAGTTACAGTGCTTGTGATCACTTGAGTTTGGGTCAAAGGGAAACGTGGCTGTAACTGTCTGATTCAGATAAAGGAAAATCAAGGAGTTAGCTAAGCGTTCCTGTTGCTAAATCTGGATGATGCTCTTGAATGACAGTTTTATGTTTTATAAGTGTGTGTATGAGAGGAGAGAGGAGTAGAAGATAGAGGTGGTCTTCCTTCACAATTAGGGATCTTGTAATATACGTTGACCACTAGTTTCCTTACTGGCACAGTATGACCCTGCAGTCAACCACCAAGCATTGCCAAGCGACTCTTGCAGATCTACTTAGTGTGAGGTTCTTAAGGGGTTACAGAGAACTATGACATAGTCCCTGCCCACCGAGAGCTCAGTATTGGTGAAGGAACAAAAATACACAGAATAGTAATATGAAAGGTAAGGCAGTATCGATGGAGATTGCTCGATTATGGTTTATGATTGAAGTTCTATAAGATTTAAAGGTCAGGATATCCTGGAACAAGTGAAGTTTAAGTTAGGTCTTAATGGAACACCAGGCTTTGGGAAATGAATGGAGAGAAAGAGGTGAGCACAGCTTGACAGACTTAGAGGAAAATTAACTTTAAGGCTTCACGGGACAGTAAAAAAACTAAACTTGGGCAAATAAAGCTTCTCTACATTAAGAACCACAGAATGTGGGAGTTGGAAGGACCTTGGAGACTGTGTGCTCCAGGGCCCTCGTTATTTAGATAAAGATTGAAGCCTGTAGAGGAAGCAAACAATTTATCCAGGGTCACAGAGTAAGATAGTGGCAGAAATTATGGAATTAAAAGTGGATGAAGATCAAAAGAGGGTTTTTGTTGTTTTTTTGTTTTATTTTGTTTTGTTTTGTTTTGCCGACGGTGTGCTTGAACATGTTTATTGGTAGAGGGGGAAGAGACAGAAGAGACCAAAGAGACCAAAGATGAAAGATAGAAAGGGAATTCATGGAGAAAGGTCCCTGAGAGGACAGGAGAGGGTGGGATTTAGAGCCCTGGGGTTATTTATTTTGAGAGAAAAGGAAGGATATAGGCAAATTTTTAAAAAGAGGCTACCTAGCACAGACCAATCTCACCAGGGAGGCTGTGTACCCTCTCTGAAGAGGGGAGGTCATTTTCTGAGAGTGACTGCTGGGAAGGAGCACAGTCACGAGCACTGGGAGTTGCTGAGGGCTCAGCCACCGGGGAAACCTCTACCTTGTATTTGGGGGTGATTTCGTGTAGTAGTTGGTAGTGTGAACTCCAGAGCCTTATTGTCTGGGTTCAGGTCCTGGCACTGCCTCTAGCTACATGACCTTCTAAGTTACTTAATCCTTCTGAGCCTGTTTCCTCTTCTATTAAATGGAGGTAAGAATAGTATGCACCTCAGAAAGGTTTTTGTGACGGTTGAATGAGTTACTCTATGTAAAGTAGCTAGGACCATGTCTGCCACATGTAACACTGTAGTGTTAGCTCTTGTTATTGTTTAAGTAGAAATAATGACTAACAGAGAAAAGCCTAACTTTATTGCCATGAATTGGCCTATATGAAGTTTCTGGATACCAGTAGCAGCCTAAATATTGGCTCATTTTAAGCAATATCCTAAACAACCCAAATGTGATAACTAGATGGAGGCAAGACAGATAATTTTTAGCGTATTCAGGTTTCCATCAAACTCTGCATGATTTCTTTCATGCCAATGGATATGTCATTTTTGGACTTTTCGTTATGAATTTAATTGTTTATTCTGCTTTGTTAATAGCAAACTGGTGTCTGGGGAACATGGGTCATGAGAAATGTGATGGTGAATGGCAGCAAATGATTAGTCCTTGGCTTCTACTGCAGATACATCACTTCTTATCA